CTAGTAGTTTTCTGAACGGAGGTAGCCCCTTGGGCTAGTAAAAATTAAAACTACACGTATACTTCCAAAAAACGATCATTTTTTTCTAATCCGAATTTCCTTCATTCCTCTGTTTATAGTAAATACATGCAGATATCTCATTAAATTATTTAAGATCACTCAATCAAATGAAAGATAAATGTTATGTGCTTTACACATAATATATTTGTAAGAATTAAACTTTGATTTTAAAAAGAATGACATTAAAGCCCTGACTTTTTCAACAATAAACTATTTTTTTCAATATTAATTGTTATTCCCCCTACATTTGGGCTAGTAACTTTTTACTTGGGGCTAGTAACCTTGGTCATAACTTCTGAATAATAAGAGATAGTGCTTTCATATTTCACATGTACATTACCTACAAGAACTTTCTAAACATACCATGATTTTTGAACCCATGACCTTGACCCTGAAGTTTGACCTACTTTTCAAAAAATTTAACATTATTTTAAATGATCATTTTGAAAGAGAAAAGATAGGGCGTTCATATTATACATGTATATTACCTGTGACAAGACCTTTCTAAATATATCATGACTTTTGACTCTGTGACATTGACCTTGAAGTTTAACCTACTTTTCAAAAATGTTATATTTCCTTATAACTTTTGATTGAGAAGAGATAGGACTTTTATATTTGACATGTACATTACCTGTAACAATATGTTTCCAAGCATGCTATGATTTTTTTACCCCTTGACCTTGATGTTTACCTAATTTTCAAAAACTTTAACTTTGGTGATTACTTTTGAATGACATATGATAAGGCCTGCATATTTGAAACAATATGTCATAAATAATGGCATCCCATCCACTAGGACACGGAAAGCAGGTGACCACAATTCTTTGAATTTGCTTGTTAGTCATTTTGATATGGAAACATCCTCATATAGTGTAGATTCAAGTTTTTTATGCCCTGCCATGAATATGGCCGAGGCATATAGTGTTTGTCATGTCCGACTTCAATAAAACGTCATATGCTGATACATACTGATGTAAGCTTTTCAACTGCATCAAAATTTTTGACCTTGAATTTTCCTTTGACCTTGACCTTACTTTTCTTAAATGAGTGTCTAGATCAGTTTTGAATAAACAATTCATGATATATTTATCAAACTTCGTATGCTGATATATACTGCTGAGAGATATCAATTGCATAAACTTTTTTGACCTTGACTTTTCCTTTGACCTTGACCTCACTTTTTTAAATTAATGTTTATCTACGTTTTAAATAAACCATTTCTGATATTTTTATTGAACTTCTATGCTAATAGTAAATACATACTGATATAAGCTTTTCAACTGCATCAGCATTTTGACCTCAACCTTTCCTTTGACCTTGACCTCTCTTCTCTCAAATAAGTGTTAAGCTCAGTTTTAAATAAATCATTAAGATATTTTTATTAAACCTAATATGCTGATATGTATTAGTGAGAGCTATACAACTGCATCAAAAACTTTTCACCTTGCACTTTCCTGTGACCTTGACCTCCCTTCTCTTTAATTTGTATTTTGCTTAGTTTTAAAGAAACAATCTACGATATTTTTATGTAAGCATGCACTTATACATAATTTTGTGAGAATTTATCATCTATATCCATTTTTTTTTTTTTAGATTTTAGTTTCTATTTGCTATCCACATGGAAATGCAAATTTTAAAACCATTTTACACATCCACAGGTCAAAATCAATCATCTTCCAAATGATCATGATTTAAGGCTAGTGCATAAAATATAAGGGAAGTTCTGGGAACCAGGATGTTTAAACATGTTAAATATTTTTTTTAAAAAATTGACCCCCATTTGACCCCCAGGGGGAAAATAAGAATTCCGAAACCTTACTGCACATCTATAGGACACCACCAACCATCTCCCAAAAGATGATTAGGCTACTGTGTAAAATGTAAGAGGAGTTCTGGGAACCAGGGGCTTTTTGCATAAAAAACCTCTTTTTTCGACCCCTATTTGACCCCATCGTGAAAATGAAAATTCCGAAACCTTACTGCACATCAACATGACACCACCAACCATCTCCCAAAAGACGATTATGCTACTGTGTAAAATGTAAGAGGAGTTTAGGGAACCAGGGGCTTTTTGCATAAAAAAACGTCATTTTTTGACCCCCATTTGACCCCCAGGGTGAAAATGAAAATTCCGAAACCTTACTGCACATCTACAGGACAGCACTAACCATCTCCCAAAAGATGATTAGGCTACTGTGTAAAATGTAAGAGGAGTTCAGGAAACCAGGGGCTTTTTGCATAAAAAACGTCATTTTTCGACCCCCATTTGACCCCCAGGATGAAAATGTAAATTCCGAAACCTTACTGCACATCTGCAGGACACCACTAACCATCCTCCAAAAGATGATTAGGCTACTGTGTAAAATGTAAGAGGAGTTCAGGGAACCAGGGGCTTTTTGCATAAAAAACGTCATTTTTCGACCCCCATTTGACCCCCAGGGTGAAAATGAAAATTCCGATACCTTACTGCACATCTACATAACACCACCAACCATCTCCCAAAAGATGATTAGGCTACTGTGTAAAATGTAAGAGGAGTTCAGGGAACCAGGGGCTTATTGCATAAAAAACGTCATTTTTCGACCCCCATTTGACCCCCAGGGTGAAAATGAAAATTCCGAAACTTTACTGCACATCTACATGACACCACCAAACATCCCCCAAAAGATGATTAGGCTACTGTGTAAAATGTAAGAGGAGTTTGAGAAATAAGAGTGTGACAGACGGACGGACGGACGGACAGACGGACGGACGGACGGACAGACATGAGTAACAACAATATACCCGAACTTTCTTTAGAAAGTGCGGGTATAACAATTCATTAATAGCATGTTAAATAAACGTGGAATTCTAGGTTTATCAAAGTCATACTGTAAGGCGATTTTCGTCTGCATTCCTTTGTTGTACTATCGGTGAATACAATTGTCAGGTGGGTTCGCTTACCAAAAAGCACAGATGATCACAAGTATTGTAATATGAAAAAAAACCTTTGTTGTCCATTTAAATGTAAGGAATGCTGCTCGTTTTCCTTAACCTTAAAGCGCTAGTGTTCTGAACGTGGTACAGACTACATTCTTTTATATGCATTTTCTAGTTAACAACGTAACAACAAATTACAAACGCCTGTGGCATCTTTCATAGTTTCTACTCTTTGTTTTTTTTTTCATATAAACAGTTTCTTTAATTGGTTTTTGCAATCCATTCGATATCGATCGTAGATTGAGTTGAACCACGTGTTCGAAGTAAAATGTAAAAACATAGGTGTTAACGTTGCTATTCATTCAATGATTGGTCAATTGTTGGTGGAAAGATCCACTGTGCGTATTAGTAACAAAAGCCATATAAGATAAACAAAGGTTTGTCATATGCATTTTTACTCTTCCAGTATATCGGGCGATTTTGGAAAAATTAACAGTACTAAGCTCCAATTTTCGCCGTAAATTATCACAAAAGCGAAGATCAACTAAGTAGATTGTGATTTTTTAAATCCCACCCATTTCTGTAGAAAATCTTTCAGAAATTTAAAAGAAACAGATCATAGCAATTTCCTGTTTACTGCCAATTTTATTTATATAAACGGTTCTACCCTATAACCTTTGAATGGGTCAACCTACACCACGTGTCTTGAATTTAAATCACAATAACATTAGTTGGGGTGCTATAGGTCAACACATATATTTACATAGAAATGATCCTTTCCCAAAAAGATGTAAATTTGTAAAATTTATATTATAATTAAATACAGTGTTTTATATTTTTACATTAGTCTGTGTTACCTATTCCAAATATGAAGAAAAAAACAGGTGAATCGAGGGTGGGGTTGATTTTTGACAAAGTTGATCGGGTCAATGTTTGAAATGGGGTTCTCCGAGTCCTACCCAAATACTGATAAAAATTTGCACAAGTTGTCATTTTGGCATCTATTTTTTTTAAGTTCATCAAAAAAGCTATGCACTAAAATAAATAATATTAAGTTTTTTTGACAATAAATTCAACAAGTTCCAATTATGGTCCAGAAATTACCACCCCCTTTTTCTACACAAATCTTTCAAAAATTCTCTCTTTAACAGAATTTACATTATTAAATTATGTAATATCAGACTGGTAATGAAATATTTATATAAGAGGCCCATATGGGCTGCATGTTCACCAGAGCAATTTATGCTTGATTTAAATGTGTGATGTGCTTCTTCCCTTTTTACCAGAATTTGAAGGACGGCGCATTTAGAGGCAAACACCTAAGTGCGGGTATTACTGTCTTGTGACAGCATCTAGTAAAATATTTTGCAAAGTCCTGAGAAAAAAAAATTTGTTTTTCGCAGCTTTTCATTCACTTTGAGTTGTTACATTGAAAAATAAAAATAAACTCACGTTTTTATCTAGGAAAATTATTTTTGTAATTTTTTGCAATGAATTTGCATTGAATTCTAATACTTGTATATATATATATATATATATATATATATATATATATATATATATATATATATATATATATATATATATATATAGATTTAAAGGTATAGAATAGTGAAAAAATAAGGCTGATTTGATAGCCTAAGGAAAATACCGTGATGAATATTTGTTTTATTACAGATACTACAGATATCTAAAACATATTTCTGAGTATCCTACGTGTACAAGGAATCGTTATATCATACCTATATGATTACAAATATTTTAAACGTGGGCTGAATGACACATGTTTTATCAATTCCAGTCACACGTTGTTTATTGTTCAAAGAAGCCATGATAAAGCTAGAATTGATTTTTAAATAATTATCAAGTACATTATCCTGAAATTGGACACTTTGTACCTTATGTTACTGTTAAGAACCATAAAATATTTCGATCTGCTAAAGCACGTGCAGTTTTTAGAATCAATACCAAAAAGTATTTAACACACCTATTACCCGGAAAGACATCACATCTAGGAATATGGGTAATAACTGCGGACACAGTAAGTTTTTTTTTTAATTTAGGTAACAATTGACAAGGTATTCCTTCTTTTCGGCTCAGTTGCTATATTAATTATTTGATCCATTTATATGTTTTAAAAAAATCAGAAATTTGATGCAAATTTGTATAAAATTAAAAACCTTGTGCAAATATAAACTAGGGCATTGAAATGCGTTTTGTAAAATCGCATTGGCATGGAGACAATTATACAAGTTGTACAATATTGAATAAGTAGAAAAATATAATGTACATGCAGATTGAACGTTTATCTACCTTAATATGTAATATTTGAAAAACTTTTTCTTAACGCTACAATCTTGTACTGTTTGTGATGTTGAACAGCACCAAAAATATTCAGCATCATCTGTATGTCTGTGAAGCAGGAAAAATTGCTAAATAAATCTTTTTTCTTGTCAACCTTGAATGTCAGATTTTAAAGTCATTAGAGGTCATATCAAGATCACCCATTCAATGCAGTGAAGTTTGGAAGAATTTTGCCTGTTGCATTTTACCTGTTTCTATTTCTTTTCAAAGTGGTATAAAGGCATTGTTACAACGCATTTTAAAAAAAATACGCTCTTTTTTCAAAGTTCTTTAAATTTGGGGCGAAGTGAGCGCACTTTGAAAAAAATGAGCATGGATTAATCAATATTCTTGCAAATTTTATAATTATTTGAACCCGGTTGGATAACTTTTCGGTGATGACGTCACTTCAGGATCTGAGATATAGATGTTTTAATGATTTTTAGGGTGTTGTCTTGTTAATGTTATAGAAAGGAAATGGGTTTTTCTAGAAATAATGGAGAAATGATTGTTTAACAGCACAATTTCGTTTCTTTTTTTTATTTTATCAAGTCTGTAGTAAGTTCGGTAGATGTAGGGGTCGATAAGTGACTTAAAGCATCGCATTTTTTTTAGGGAAAAGGGAGCAATTATGACTTTTCCATATCACAAAAAAAATTTCTCTCTCTCTCTCTCTCTCTCTCAAAGAACTAAAATTCAGTATTAAGGACTTCCTTATATTTTTTTCCCTGTTTTTAAAATTTCATCTTTTTTTCAAATATGACCCTTGGGGGTACGAGAAATGCGACAAAATTACGACAAAGTTTATATGCTAATTGAAAATATTTTTCCCGCACAGTATGATGGGTTTTTTTTTTCAATATAGTTATTTGATAAGTATTCAGAAGTAAGACAAAAAATGTTTATTCCCGCACTATATGATGACCTTTTTAAAAGTTGTTTGATTAGAAGTAAGATGTATGAAAAATAATAAATGTATTTTATGCAATTTTTTATCGTTGTATTGTATTTGTTTTTGTAAAGCTTCTTTGGCCAAAGTATAGTCAGTTGGCGAGTGTTGTTTAGATCAGAGATGTGGCCCCTGAGTCTCTCTTCTTTAATATAATAGGGTTGCGGTTTCTTTATTTCAGGAAAGGTTATCTCATTTTTTCCATCTACTGTACGTTAACTCAAATTTATTGAGAGAAAGTACATCAATGTCATACTAGTTATGTAAATACATATATTTGGGTAGAAAAGATTTGGGCTGAGGGACCCTTCTACCTATCTTCTGCACGTTCTCGATGAGTGTAGATCAATTCAAGTTTTTTGAAAGAAATGCTGTTACTAAAATCTAGGTCCAGATTATATTTTTTCACTTATGTGCGTTATGTGTCTCCATGGTAAAAAATGTTGATGTACACTCTTAGCGCACTTTGAAAAGGTGCGTTGATTTTATCCCAAATTTTTCGCACTTTGAAATTTTTTTCAAAGTGCGTTGATTTAGTCCCAAATATAACGCACTGTGAAACATTTTTTCAAAGTGGGTAAGTTATTCAAAGTGCGTTTGCCACAATGCATCCCGTTTATTGCTAACATTATTTAATAAATTTTATATACTAATTTTTATAATAATAATAATAATAAGGCATATTAAAAAAATCATGAATTTTTGTTTTTTTACGATGCATTGTATTTGACATATGAATATAACATGATATATATATATATATCTGTATATGACATATAAAAAAAATCCAATTTATTTTTGTAAGAACTATATTGTATGAAAGAAGTTCTGTGTAAGTTGAAGTTGAACATTTTAATCACAAACCAAATTAACTTAAAAATACTCGAGCATATTTGGAAAATTATCACTAAAATAAAATTGAGTTTTCCAATCAACGTCTGTTAACTTTTTATTTACTGCCTGGTAGTATTGACTGATTGCTCAAGGATTTGTGCTTGAAAACAATTATCTTTTTAAATCCATGTATAGTAAGACTATGCTGTTAACAATACTGATGTTTATAGTACAATATGACAATCAAACAGAAATATAATTCCACAACCGAAGAAATTAGAATAAACAATTTAAATAATTAAAGTAATTATTTTCATAATTAGAACACTTCAAATCGTTTTTATTTTGATTTACAATGTCCATGTAAGCTTCAGAACTGTAGCTCTTTGGTTTACGGCGACACTTTTTATCGCTTGTTTTGGGTTTTCGGGTTCTGTTTCTTGTATTTCATATGTTCCCCCGCTTCAAGAATGGTATGTGTTAATCATATACTTTACACATATTCCTAATACTTTATTTGCCTTTCAGTGGTTCCAAACAGCCCTATATGGCTTTGGAATGTCAGTTCAAAAAATTCGCAATCCGACGTCCATGTTGGGGGTCGTGCGAAAAAGAAGTCTGTCAAAGAACATACACATGCCGAGAAAATGTAAATTAAAAAATGGAGGATCAAATATCATGTATATCGTATATAAAGAAGATAAGATGCATAAAAAAGAAACTAAATAAATAAAACTTGGGAGTGTTATTTAAGCATGACACCAACATGGACGTCGGAATACGGATTTTCTGTTTCGAAATATCTCACTTTTAGAGCATAAATAAAAAAATAACTTATTTTGTATAACATCTACATGTACTGAATAACAGAATTTGATAAATGAGCCACTGGTCATTATTTAAAAAGCCTTTCGGTGGATGACGTGGATTGTTCACGACATCAGTGAAATATAATAAAAAGCACGTGCGTCTTCCTTAAAGAACATAATGGCACAACATAAAAGTACTTGAACACAAGTAAATTTATTTAATTACACGTGTTCAATTCAACAATCCCTTCAATTAGCAACTTGAAAAAAATTCCAGTTTAAGTACTGAAAACTTAGTCTATGCTGAAAATCTAAGCTGACAACTTTACTTACATTGAAGTACACACTGCAGTTTGATTACGGATTAATATTTATTTTCAAACATCATGATGCATTTAATTTTACTTGCTGGTAAATGAATCATAAAACTTGACAGTACGATGTCATTAGGTCATAAGCATGCAGAATATATTTTCCACGATAAATTAATGTCCAGGCTGTTTGACATCAATGACAGCTGCTTTTCCGATAAAAAAAAATGGAACTGTCAAATTTACTTACCTTGTAATTGGTCATTTGAAACATTATTTTGTTAAATAAAACATTCTGATTGTTCAAATAAATACTTTGAAGTTGACATTAAAAAGATGCTTGAGTTTCTGATTGACTATATCTGTGTAGTTTTTAGAGACCATGTGATTGAAATATATAAAATGTGTTCTCAGTTCAACCTTTCATTTTTTGTAGGTTGCAATTACTATCATGTCCATATTTTTGGAAAACGTATGTATCAAACATGAATTAATTTGTAATAATGAATGTTGCTTCCGGTCATTATTTAGTCAAATGTACCTTTTATTCAATTTGTGATAGTGTGTATTTTTAGTCTTCCGGGAGAAAGCGGGGAAGTTTCTGTTTTGAGGGTTTAAACAATGTTATTTCTTAATCAAATACTTTCGATTATGTATTGTTATTGACACGGTTTTTCTTAGATAAAAGTAAAATTAGCTGCAAACCTAAATTAAAAAAAAATCTATGTGTATTATAACAGAAAAGGAAATGCTTATAAAATTAAAATTTATTACCTATTCTCTAAAATGAATTTCTTAATATTAGGGGCAGAAGAATTCAGCCTAAGGTCATTACAGAGCCAGAGTGAAGGTACAACCTATAACAATTAATAACATTTGATATCAATTTGAACATGTTAATTTTGCTATAGTTTATCAAAATTAATTGTTTTCTTATGCAAATATAGCTTGATTACGTAAAGGTCAATTTCTAATAGAGTTTTTTTCCTTAAAGTATTTCTATTTAGCTACATGTTGTCTATGTTCGTTGAAAATAGAATTATTAAATTTTTATTATCCTTTTTTTTTTTTTTTTTTTTTTTTTTTTTTTTTTTTTTTTGCCTTTTCAAATATTTAGTTTTAGCAATGCAAAGGGCAACAAGTTTCTGTTTTGCAATTTTGGCCGTCAAAATGTGTATGAGCAAGCGCTTCGACAAAAGTCCTCAAAGTCCTGAAGAAATGAAACTGAGAAGTCTTTGGATTGAAGGAGTAGATAAAATCAAAGACACAACGGGCCTTCCAAAAGGTTTTGACCGATCCAAGGAAACAGATGTCATCATACACGGATACCTTGTAAACAGCTATCTACCGATCTTGCAAACCTTAGCTCGACAACTGAAAAAAGTACGAGAGTGCACAGAAGATAAAATTAAAAATATAAATTTTGATAAAAAAAAATTAAATTTTTTTCTATGTTTTTTAATTATTACATTTATTGTTATTTGTTTTTCTTTCTATTTTTGTGATTAATTTTGTTCTGTTTAATTATCAGCGCTTTTTTTTTTTTGGCAACAGGAAAAAAGCATCCATACGTGGCATTAAGGGTGTCAAAATTCCATAAAAACGGCATCTATGCTTTAAAAAGAATTTTTAAAAAATCCCGTTTACTGTTGTTATTTTCTTTACAATTGTAGAAAATTTTGTTATAAATGGGTAAATGAATTTGATAGAGGGGATTTTTTTTATCGCAGAAAAATCACAACGTTTTGATGATTGACTGGGAGCTTGGTGCTCATAGGAACTACGCTCAGGCCGCCGCTAACACTGAAACTGTCGGGGCATTTGTGTACCAAGTTCTGAAAAAGAACAAAATTCCCTGGAACAAAGTCCATATCCTGGGTCAAGGACTGGGTGCCCATGTCGCTGGGGAAACCGGAAAATTATCGAAAGCGAAAATAGGCAGAATAACTGGTATATCTCCATTACTTAACTTTTTAAAATATATATATATATATAGTCTTTATAAATAACATCCATTTATTTTTTCATGAAGTCACAAATTAAAGTAAGATAGATATCATTATTTTTCCCAATGATATGATGACAATTTCATTTAATATTATTATTTTTTATTTTGATATCGTGTTATTACAATTTCTTCATTGAACGTTAGAAATTCTACTCTAAATGTGTTTACTTGTAATAAAGTTAGTACATATCATATGATGTGTAGTGGGTCATTAAAGGACGTGTGCCATGTTTCTCAATTACTTGAAATGAAAAGCGTGTTATGTCCCTTATGATCATAGTTAATAATTTTCATGTTTTTATTGTGGAGATAACGCAGTAATTAAACATTATTGATTAAAAAAACCCTCAGTTAAAAATCCAAGTTAATTAGATAGCGACCACGTGACCATGATACATCATATGCGACAATGGCTGATCAGTTGTTAATCTAACTAAAATCTACGCGATGCAAACTGGATTTTCTGCATTATGAACGACTAAATCACTGATTTTATCTGTATGAAGTTGAATATTCAACCTTTTTTTAACTGTTAGCAAGAAAAAATACGAAATATATATATAAACATGGTAAATTAACCTGTTAAAAGTGACGATAGCGAAGGAGACGAGCGAAGACGAAGAAACTCGCCTGCACAATATAATTGTATAATTTGTAATCTTATCACACATATTAACCAACCTTATTCACAAATTTAAAATTACAGAACTTTGTTAATTCATTTTATTTAATAATCTTAAATCACATCCTAATGTAAATACTTGAGCGACTGAATCGTCATTGAAATCGAAAGTGGAACGCGGGATCGGGGTAATTGATAGTAATACCTTACAGTTTGAAAAGGTGACGGGATCTTTACTAATTATCCTCTCTTCTCTAATCATATACTAGTTACTGTTATTAAAACTGACAAGCTGCAATAATTTAAACCAGCAAGTTTTTCGAGATTTAAAATTTTTGTTTCCTTACTTACATCATTACACCATGTATACCTACACTGTAGCCCGTTTATAATATCTACTTGCATATATTTATAACTTCATCTTTAGATAAATGTTTATACTTAAATAAGAAGAATATGCATATCGCCGTATTTGAATTTCAACTCTAAATTTCTTTTAAGATATGCTTACAACAACCTTTATTTTATTCAATATTTTATTAAAAACAAGGTTGTAGATAATATTTTTCATAAAACTACGGATTTTTTAAAAACATGGGACAAGTCCTTTAAAATATCACCTCTTATACAATGTGTATCAGGTCTAGATCCAGCTGGACCACTTTTTGAGACATCTCCTTTCGGGATAAAGAAACGATCTGCTCAGTTTGTGGATGTCATTCACACAGATTCAAGGCCGAATGGTGAGGAAAATGTCGGTTTCTTATGCACAATTTTTAAGTTCTGTTTAAGAGTTCTTCAGTACATGTATATAATAAGTAATATCAATTACGTGTAATAATAATCCGACATGTTTTTCAAAATTTGAATTTCTGCATATTGATAAAAAAAAATCATAAAGTTCATCATTTAAAATGCTGCACAAATAGATACATGTAAAATACAAAAGTTATTTTAAGGAGAAGATTTTCTTCTTCCAGTAAAGAGAAAACTTTTTTTTCATTTCAACTGTACATGTATCCAGGTTATGGGATTCGAAAGCCATGTGGTCACATGGATATTTATGTTAATGGCGGAAGAAGACAACCAGGATGTACCTATAATCCAAAGAATCCAGTAAATATCAACAATCTTAAAAGTAAGTCTTCAAATAATTACTTCATTTTAAAGAAGAAAAAAATAAATTAACATTATATTTCAAAAGTTTTTTATTTCCATTTGTTAGCACATAGTTATAAAGTTGTTATGACCCCTACCTTTTTTTCTTTTTTTTTAAAAATCCTGTAAAAACCGGAAGTAATTTTTTTTAAAAAACATTACATTTAGAGACGACTTTGCACAAAGGCTGTGGTCACCTGAAGGCGGTTGGATACTATATCGAGACTATTAAGGACAACTGCAAGCTGAGAGCGTGCGAATGTACTTTTAAGAGATACCTTGCATCGAAGTGTAGTCGGGAAAACTGCGTGTTCTGGGGTGATGACGCAACAAAAAGCGCCACAGGGACGTTTTATGGCGTCACAGCCACTTCCTTTCCATACTGCAGAACAAATGGAAAAGAGTGAGGATTTATTCCTGTTTCAACAAGCGAACTTGTTTTTCTTTTTTTTTTTTAAAATCGAATTTGCCTCTTTGCAATTTATCTTTGAATTAAGATTGCATCTCTAGACACACTTTGCATAGTTATTTCTTTTATTCTGCTTTTAAACATAATTCCATCTTCTGACTATATTCCTATACTTCAATAAATTGCTCGCATCCGATTCCATGTTTTTCTTTTTTCTGATGCAAGCTACATGTAACTTTATTTGAATTGAACATGTGTTCGTTGAAATGTTCACATGTAAAGGACTATATTTACTATAAAGACCAATATCTGCCCCGAAAATCAAACTTTGATGGAGATGGGTATATTTTATGTTCCTAAACAGCGGGATACTACTTCAAAGCATTACATATTTTCATTAAAACTGTCAATTTCATATTTTCAATAATTAGTCAATAGTTATCAAACGGGCCAATCCATGCAAACAACAACATCAGCGTCTTCTTTTCTCCTGTATTATTTCTTTATAATTATGTCAGAAGTTATGATTAATAATACAACTTAACGGAATAAAGGCTGAAGATGGAGGGGTCATAGAACAAAGTTAAAAAATACTTTCTGTGAAGAACAGACTCTTTTATATGTTTCCTTGATGAGCCAGATAGGGTAAAAGATAACCCTAGTTTATTCAATTTAATGAAAATAAAGGCAAAACATCAAACTAATTGCAACACAACATATTTTGCCATAAATGAAATGTAACATGTATAAAATATTTGCAGAAGAAAAATAGAGAAAATATAATGAAAGGAAAGTTTTATTTTGGTACAATTAAATAAGCTAAGGGAATTACTATAGAAAAGGCATATAATACTTTAAATTCAACCAATGTTTTACTTAAGTAGTCTATAGAAAATTTATATTTTTCTCAAAAGTGAAATCTATTTTAAACGTTTTGATACAGTTGGCCTATATTTGATAACATCTACCCTAAAATTTTGTTATTATGACGCAAGGAAATGCAATGTCACATCTGTAATTTTCACTCTGATGCCTATACATCTGTATTTTTCTGCTTAAGATTTAAAAGGTTTCTCTGCATGTATGAATGTCATTATACACAGTTTAATTCACTTCCTTCTTCAATGTTAAAAAAAAGTATCAAATTTTTAACCAAAATTTACTAAAATGAAAAGAATTATGCCCTCTCTAGAAATAATTTTCATTGAAAATTTATGAATCCAAGATAAAACTTTCCCCTTATCCGATTTTGCTAGATTTATATAACATTTATTTTGCACTTTCTAGACATCATGTACGACAAAGGAAAATACTCTGCAATGAGTTTCATTTTTATGATAAATTGACATTTCAACTACAACTCGACATTTAGATATATCGACGACGTATTGTCAATCAACAATTGTTATTTCCATTCTTATGTCGATACGATATATCCCGGTGAGCTTGAGATAAAAGATACTTCAGAGACTGACACATCTGTTCCATATTTGGATATTTTACTTAAAAAAGTCGTTAATGGTTATCTAACAACCAAGCTTTATGATAAACGTGATAACTTTAACTTTTCAATCGTCAGCTTCTCTTACTTATGCAGCAATATACCTTCCTCGCCTGCATACGGGGTTTATATCTCTCAGTTGATTCGATACGCAAGAGCATGCTCTACGTATGTACAATTTCTAAAACGAGGTAAATTATTGACAAACAAGTTGATGAAACAAGAATATCAGCAGTCTCGTTTAAAGTCATCATTTCGTAAGTTCTATGGTCGATACAATGACCTTGTCAGCAAATACAATTTATCATTGAGTCAAATGCTGACTGACGTTTTTCATACCAATTGTTAGGCCATTATTTACACACTGAATTGTCGACGGATTTTTCCATTATTTCCCGATCATGACAAGGAGCACACGGCGGGTGTGACCGGTCGGCAGGGGATGCTCACTCCTCCATGGCACCTGATCCCACCTCTGATGTTTTGGAGGTCCGTATTTGCTCTGCACCTATTTTGTAATGTTTAATGGACTTTTGAGCTTGAATACTGTTCTTTATCTCCATATATTTCATTGACCAAACTACACTTGTTTTCAAACTATATACGATGGATATCGGTCAAATGATATCGTTTTCAAGTCAATAGTTTTGAGCTCACAATGGTTTTGATGTGAAAGTTATAAATTCAAATGAGAGTAATATATGTATAAAAAAAAGTGTAAACGTGTGTGAGTGTTGTAAAACATATGATAAAAAGAATTTCCTATGGTTTGTACTTGAATATGATTTTGTGTGCTTTTAATCTCTCACTAGGGCTCTGTAATAAAACAATACATGCAAATCATTGAATAGAAACATATTCAGCCACAAACCATGAGATCAGAAAAAACTGAAAAAACATGCATAATGGATATTTCTCTTTTTTTTTGGAGGGGGGGGGGGGGGTCTGGTGAAGTCTGGTTGTAACCAAGACTGAAATGATAATTCTTGCATTACCGGTTCATGAATTCCTAAAATTACATTCCATACTGACTGTGTTATACATTTTCTATAAACTAAGTACTGATACATGTACATAACTTGTAGTGGATATATGAAGTTACATGTATATTTCCTAAAGTAAGTTTAAAAATTAAAAATAAAAATGAAAAATACTTGATCTAATTTTGAAATAAAAAAAATAATAATACGAGGGTTGTTCGGAAAATTCATGGATTTTGCAATTGTCAATATTCGTTATACTTTCTTCAAGAAATTTAAAATGGGCACATTATCATATGTAAAATATTTATTTTATTTAAATTCGAAGTTTCATTTCATGTGATTTAAGGTAAGGTTTACGGTTACAGGGAGATAACTCTTATGAATCACCTAAGCGTTTGAAACCGGCGAAATTTATACCAGCGATAATAAGCATTCAATCGCTAATGAAACACCATGACATGAAATGATGAACACAAACAAAGGACATTTCCAGTAGAAAATCGTATAGGCCTAACAATTTAAAGTAAAGGAATCTCAGAAGAATTTAGCGGACAAATGCTTAGCGTGATGCACGATTGATGACGCAATAAAAGAGCACTATTTTATTTTCAATAAGGAACTGCGCAAGTTGCACGGTTATTCCAGTCAGCAGGAGCAAAGAATCAGATGTATTGTAAATCATGCACTTCACTGCGTCACTTAATCATGTTAAAATGACATCACGAACGAAAGAAAGAAACATCCAGGATCCTGTTACACTCTGAGTGGTGTATGCAGTATGCACTCCGAACAGGGAAGAGAAGTCATGGAGTATTTGACAGCTTGATATAGTTGCATCAGTCAGGTAATTATTTAACTGTTAATTTTAAGTATTTGTAGTTCATAATCGCGTATTACAACTACGGATTACAGAACTTTGTCAATGACCTAAACGGATATAAACAGGAATGAATGAACAGATCAGGGTACATGTTAATCCGAGTTTCCTCTGACTGTAAACCCTGCTTTTATCTGTTTATATTGTGACATGTTCAGCGAATATCGGATAAGGTGCATGTGACTTTAATCCCGCAATGCAGAAAAAGTTTTCATCCAACTTTTTAAAATCTCTGTCTCTTTCTTTCTCTCCATCTCTCTATTTTTTTAATGCAATCAGGAATGCATTTTCATCAGTTATTTTTTATGAAATTGTTTGAATTATTGATTGACACATTATTTTTCAATGCAAATTAGTTCTCACTGAAAAAGATCTGAAGCCAAAATCCATTTAAAAAGTATCAATCTTGAATGCAGTAAACAAATAAATGTTCTAACTCTTAGTCAAAACATACTAGTTTATATGTTGCACATGGATTTTCTCCCTAGATAGATTTAAATATGAATTTTATCATAAACTTTAATTTATTAATCTCAAAGAGGATTTAAAAGTAGGTTCAAAAGAGGGGATTTTTAAGCATTGAATCATTATTTTTTGAAAGATATAGTCTCATAACTGCAACGGTGTGTGCCAACTTATTGAGTAACGCACATTAGCGCGTTATGAAAATATGTTGGCACACACCATTGCAGTTATGAGACTATATCTTTCAAAAAATAATGATTCAGTGCATGCTTATATTTACATTTTTTAACTCCTTGTCTTGATTGCAAATGTGATTTATATTTCAAAAACCCTGTATTATCCTTCGGGTAAGTTACAATGAATGGAAGAGCCGTTGCAACAGCCTTCTGTTCAATGTGAGCGTGAATTTTGATTTTCGCTTATGACGTTGCATTTCCATGGTGCTCAACATTTGTGACGTAGAAATAAAACGCATACTTTAACTTTTGACCCCCTTTCCGTGTTATGGTGTGTTGAATGCCATAGCTTTCCTTACACTTTAAAGCAAAATACATGTGGAATGTAAATATAAAGCTATAAAGTCTGGGACTCAGTATCAAGACATTTTCAACGAAACCCATTTTCATTTTGGGGGGGGGGGGGGGGCACTACCAATAATATTAAAATTCCTTGGCAAGCAAAAATGGAAGGTCATCAGACGTTATTATTTAGGTGGCACAAGCATATATTTAGCAATGTTTTCTATAGTGTATAGTGTTCTATATATCAGCAAAATTGGGGGGGGGGGGTGCCTCTCCCCCCCCCCCAGTTCCTAAGACCATGTGGATAGTTTTAATTTAGATTGAATGGTTTTAATGAGGGCCTGGAAATACTTTCTGTAAATGAAGTTCTATTTTTATTAGTATCTCATTTTTTTAAATAAAAAGAGATCCAGATTATGCATGACTATTTAATCTTAGCATTGCTTAGGTTGTGTTTTAGAAAATTTGCTCATCAAGCTTATATAATTGCATTCATCTAATTCAATCTATATAAATTAATGTATACATTTATTTTTGATAATAGTTGTACCATTATTAGTTATAAAGTGAGTATGTTGGAAATTCATTCATTTCATTTTTTTTTCATTCCTTTCATTATATGAAAATGAACACACAATTTCAGATTATGGATCATTAATTGGAAATAAATCAGAAAAAGTACTTCAGTTCTTGCTTAGAAGATCAGTGCCATCTATTATAGTAAAGACCATCATATTCCAGCTCATGAATGTTCAAGAAGGTTGAAAGATCAATACCAGTGGCCCAGGATTTGGAGGAGACTAGTTACCCAATAAATGTTATCCATGGAAACAATGATTCCACAACAAC